GTAGTTAAGTTTAAAGTGACTGTGGAAATTCTGTGTATTGCAAAGTTGTATCGAGAAATAATAAACTAGTTTTAATTAAGAAAGGACTTGTATCACTGAAGTTTCTTGGAAAGAATTTCTAAGGTAAATTAACAAAGAAACAGATATGTAACATTCCTATAAAATGTGTACATAGTAGACATGAGTCAGGTTATGCTGCAAAAAGAAGACACTTCAGATGAAGCACATTGATAAAGCAAATTTTGTAGATTGTAGGCCTATTAAAGTTACTGAATTGTTGTCATTTTCACAAGTATTTTTTTTTCTATGTTAAGCATTTACTGTAAAACAGACCTATACAAAGAATAAAATCACCATTAGATCAGGCCCATACAACCTATATCTGTAAGCCTAATATAAAACACTATAAGCTTCAGAATTTAAACCATACCTACGCTTGTTGCATGTTATCAAGTTTATGTTGATAAACTATATCTAGTAGTTAGCACAACATTATAATTCTAGTTCTGTACATTAGATCTATTTTATTTTAAGCATCTCAGTTAGTTCTGTGGCTACTGGTTTGGCATTATAAATCATTTTAAGCAAGTATTGTACAGGGCTGCAAAGACATTTACTATGCAATTGACATTTCATACCACATGAAGTCATGGATTAATCAGCATATATTAATCCCATGTAAAAATATAATTCTAATTGCAAAAATAGAACAAAAATAACAAAGAGTTCTGGAGGAGATCTTCCAAATCCCCTTTCCTTAGATACCCTCCCTAGATGCACTTTTGGTTGCCTTGCAGTATTAACTACTTTCAATATCAAGGTTGTACTTGATGATAATTTCCACTTCAGTATCACTGTGTATATACAAACTGCCATTACTACAGTATTGTGAGTTGTTTTATTGTATTGCACTAAGGTACATTTAAGATATTTTACTCCATTCAAATCCTTGTTTTATTAACAGAAATTTATTTTTTTTGCTTTTCATATAAAATTCAATCTAACTATAAATTGCAAAATATTTTATGAAAATAAGAAAATAAAACTTTAGTTATCTTTGGTTTATTTTGTTTGATACATCATATATTTTTCTGGAGTAAAAGTCATATATCACACTGCTTCAACCTGGAAATCTTACACACTGAAAAAGAGCATAGTCACTGATTGATTACAACATACTTGTAACCATCAAGACAAACCTGATCACTGTGTGAAATCTGTCTTTGAGGGTCTGTAAATTCTGATACTAATTCATCTGCTACTTCATTATATGAGGTAGTTCCTTTTTCTTTAACCTTTTCACACACTTTCATGGAAAAGTGACGTAATCCTTTGCCACTTTTCTCCCCTTTCTTGTTTCTTTTGCTATAGATACAGAAATGTTCAAAGTTTTTTTCACGGCTCTTGTAATAAGACATTAAATAAACCATTCACATTGATAAAAATATTAGTCATACACATAATACTCTTTACAAATAAAGCCATATATCAAATGTTACATGCTTATTTCAAAATACTTAAAAATCATTTTTACTTCCAATTGTAAGTCAGCCATATTCACTAAAACTTTGGTCCAATCATGTTAATTTATGCTTCAACAAAGTATATTTGCTATACACACATTATATTGAATTTTATTCCAGAAACTGCTTTTGGTTTGGTTCTCTAGCTGTCTTGCATTATTTTTGAAATTGCAATGGCATTTCACATAACTGATTCAAACATCTAAGGTTCAGTATTGCAAATTTAGTTAATAAACAAAGAAGCCACATGTAAGTTTCTTAATATTCAATTTTACCAGCATCATCTTCATTCTATTGTTAGCCCAAACACAGCTAAGCCTTCAATGCTGTCACCCCTCTGACAAGACAGTATAGAGACATAACAGATCACTAGGACGACACTCATTGTCATGACTAGTAGCCTATATGATCGCATAAACACAGAGTTAGGCAATTTAATCAATGAACTGAATGCCTATGAGCAGCAATAAGTGTCATATAAACTAAACAATTAATAAAAAGTACTATCAAATTGATTAATATTACAAAAATAATTAATTAATCAAAACTAGTGTTTGTGATTGTTATTGTTTTGATTACTCCAAGAATCAATTAATTGAAATTATGATTAATTCGATCACCATGAAAATAATCAACTAATCCCAATTATGGTTTCTGTTTATTTATTGTTAAGCACAAAGCTACACAATGGAGGAGTGGGGTACTTCATGATTTAAGAATCTTGAGTTTAATTTTCATTACTACTAAACTTGCTTACTCTGTCTTTGTTATTGTTAAGCTACTAAGGTTATCTACAATTTCCACTAATTTTAAACTGGTTGGCAGCATCCATTACCAATTCTCTGGCCACTTAAGTGTTAAGTAGTGTAAATTTACTGTTGTTTTTCATTTTGTTATGTTTCTAACTTATAACTGTAACTTTAACTGATTTTTTTAATATTGTATAAGCAGGCAAAAACTAGGCAGCTTTATACACTCATCCCTACTTCATTTTAAAATACATAATTTTTTAATACTCTTGAATAATTATCAATTTATTTGATTTATGGATGAACAGTATTGAAGTAGTGTGTATTTGAAAAACAAACATAATGGTAACCACATGGTGGTACAAGGGGTCCTCGTTATACGTTGGAGTTAGGGAATGGAAAGTTGCAATGATACAACATATAACGGGGAATTTTCCCCCACAAGAATAATGGGAAATGGAGGGATAAGGACCATAAGAGCGTAAACATTACCTATGAGATGCAAATTGGAGCAATTTTTCCTCAAAGAAACAATGAAATATGGTATTGAATAGGGACCATAACTTGAGAAAATGTTGTGTTTTATACCTAGCAACCAAAATACGTACTGTACATGTACAGTACCTGTATTATACTATACAACACATAATGTACACATATTTAAAACTAATTCTGAGTTCCAGAACCTTTACACAGCATTTATATTTACAAAACACTTCATTGAAAACCATTTTTATGAGCATTTTGAAGCAGTCCTGTACACTTTAAAACATTTTCATTTTTTAATATAAAACATATTTGTGACATTTTAAGCAATGACTCAAACAGAAAACCATTTTTATTTTTAGAAAAATCATAGAATATTAAACAGCATTTCAAAAAGATTTTACCATAACCTTTAATTTTTATGTTCTTATCCTGGGGAGTGTATGCATTGTGCTTGATTAAAGAAGGTGTTGGAAGAGGATTAGATGGAGGATGAGAATGGAGATGCAGCTGTAAGATAATTAACATCACTGACATCTGCCATATTTATCTCTATAGAAAATGTAGGCTCAGGATTTTGCTTTGCTTGAGTGCCAGAAGGGCCTGCTTTGGAATCACTGGGTGTTTTTTTAAATGGGTTGTCTGCTTTCCTACTTGCATGTTATTAGTCTATGTTCTTTGGTGCATTATTTAATTAAATAAAAAAATATTTAGGGCATTACTACCAGTAGTATACAAAAAGTAGGACTGTATCTTCAACAATAAAAAAATATGATTTTTTGTATGTGAAAGACTTTTAATGTTAACTGAAAGACTGCCAAATTTTGTGAAGATATACACACACTATATCAAAAGTTAGAAGTATTAAATATATGAAGACTTTAAATGAGTACAAAGAGGTCACGAGGTCAACAGTAATGTAAAAAATGTACATTTGGTAACCTTCAGAAGATGTCTATCGTATGAAATAAAGAGTAGTTTGAAAATTACTTAAAAAAATACAAAACGTTGTGAATGAAAATACAAAGATGAATGCCATGTTAGAATAATAAAGTAGTTGAAAAAGTTATAAAGATAGTACGTACCCTTGTAAGGGCTGCAGGGGGTGTATGTGATTAATAAAATATGCAATCAATTAATTAATAAGCTTGATAATTAAGTACATCTGACACATAAGACAGTTCGTTGATAGTTCATGTTCATTATAAAACACATTTCATGTAATATAAACAAAGAGTGTCTTACCTCTCTGAGTAGTCTGAAAGAGTCAGTTCATGTGGCCTTTTTCCTGACCTGTTAACACCATGGTCAATTACAGGGGACAGTGTGTGCTGAGGAGTTCTTGGACTGGTATTGATGAGATGTATATTAGTGCGTTGTGGTGTGCTCAATATCTATATGTAATAACAGAAAATCTTACACATAACCTGATAAGTTTCATGCTATTATAGTACTGAAAAGTAATTCTGTCACTACACTGCATGGAAAATGCTCTATCTCATTTTACCTGGAGTTAAAAAATACACATCTTAAAAAAAAAGATAAGCACTAAAATGTCAAAATTTTCATGCAGATTAATTTACTATTAATATTTCACATGCTTATTAGTTAGTCCCATCTTTCAGAGGATATATGAACATTCATTTAGTGATCTACATGTTCTGGGAAATCACACACATATCAGAAGCTTCTGTGGTCTGCATATACAATAATGTTCCCATCCCCAAATTTCATTTTGTTAAGTGTATTTAGTTGTTCTTCATTAGATCTGATTTTACCATTTAATTGTTTTTGTATACAAAAAAATGTGCTGAATTTTTAGACTTTACTAGAAGTTCCTTGTTCCAAACCTCTTACAGCAGTGAAGCATATAAGAACACACCTCTTTTCAAGAATGACAACAGTAAGATTAACAAACTTCACCCAGATTCCCTTTGAAAAGAAGCTTTCCAGAGCAAAGATTATAAAGTTGTGCTACATGTGTTTGAAACCTCAAAAACTAATATTTTAATTTTTTGAAGTTTATACTTGACCATCTTTAATATTCTCTGTTAAAATACTGTTAGCTGTAAGTCACATAATACATTTTTACATTGTAGTTTATGAATAAAACATATGTACTTGGACTATAATTAATTATGTTTTTTTTAAATATCTGTTCCCTTGACTATTTACATCCATACAACACAATGACAAATGTTATTAAAAATGTCAGTTACATTTCAAATGTAGCATACTACTAGGTTGCTAAATTTTATTGCAAGTGTTTACACTGTAGATTTATTAAAACTTCAGAGCTTGCACACTTCAGTTTGATACAATGTTTTCTACAAAGGTTCTTACCACCCCATGTTAAAGTGGAGTGTAGCTTTCATCAGATATACTTTAAAGATGTAGTATGTGCTTTTTTTTATTTCAAACTTCATAAAAAAGCAGACTTGTTAGACTAGATTGAAAGAAATCATATGAACATCAAAACATCATAAATATGTCATTTAAGTTTAAAAATCATTATTTTCTAATCATGTGTGTAAAAAATGTATGTAATATAAAATCACATTAGCTCTTTTAAAGTCATGCAACTCACACATGACCAGCAGAATGAAGTAATATTAAGTATAATCAGATGACAGATAATACCACCTGGTGGAACTACATACTTTTTAAATATGACAGCACTGGGCAACACAAAAATGTTCTCTGCTACTATAAAAAATACAACTGTTTTTGAGTAATTTGATGATGATTTTAAAAATCATGTTGAAAATTACTAACCGCCTCTAGTTTTAGAGTTATGATAAATTTATTCAAAATATGCTTATATATCATGAAAATAACCTTTTCTTTAATAACTTTATTCATTGAAAACTGCATTTAAGAATATATAATCATCATGCTTTGATAAATTTCTTTCATGTTTACAGCATGAGCAACAGGAATCAATGGCTTAGTGTTCCCATTGTGCAAAAGTACAGCTTTCAGACTAACTTTAAATGAGTTGATAAAAGTCTTCATTCTTGGGGATGATGTTCAGTACCTAATTCTTCCATAAGTACATCAACATTTTTACAGAAACACAAAGTATCTTGCATGCTGTAGTGAGAAGCAAGACTTTCATGGCAACTTTGGTAAATTGAAATTCTTGTTCCTGGAGTTAATACATTCCATTGCTGTAAACAAGAGCCAATAAGTTTCCCATGCTGCTTTGATAGAGACAAGTCATGAATCAGATCATTTAGCTCTTCTTGTGTGATCAGATGAGGCTGTTTATGTTGAAGTGCCACAGGAATAGAATTACTAGATGAAGAGGATGAAGATAATTCATTGTCTTCTTTGCAGGATAACTCTTCTGTTTTCCAATTCGCTGGTGGATTTAGCAATGGAGGACCATCCCCATGAGGTACTGGTTTCATTGCAGATGCAATATCTGGATATTTAATATATTCTTTAGCTTTCCTTGAATATCCAGAAACATTAGTCTTTCAAAAATAACAGTCAATTAGATTATTGTTGGGCTCACTACATATCACGGGAACTGCAAATGGTATACTTGCTCTCTTTTTTTTTAATCAGACACAGTGTAAATCGAGATATGCAAACTGTACAACACACACGTGGAACCCAATGTTTTTCTTGGTCATCAGCTTTACACTCAAAATAGTGGTAGTAAGCTACCTTTACCTTATGTGTGTTATTTTTCCTATGTAATATATTTTCCACAAATGTAGCAGAAACTGTTTGGGTGATTTTTGCTTTTTCGGATTTTACTTGCCAGCATTTCAAATTATTTTCTAAAAAATATAAAAAAAATTATGTTTACAGAACTAGAGTTTTAAAGATTTTCAAAAACACAGTTTTGCAAAATTTGATTATGTTGCAGATATGATGTGAGGAAGAAGATCAGACTTTGTTTTGACTGTACATGGAGTGAGGCAAAGTGACCAACTGAATGAGAAAAGGAGGTTGCTGACTCCGCCCCCTTTATGCTCAGCTTAGGGACTTCTCGGATGTTCTAGCAAATTGAGCACATGAGGGTTTCGTGCAGATGAGTGTAGGAATGAAGCAAAAGTGGTGAAATTCACTAGTTATATTAAGAACAAGTAATATATATGAACAATATATTTGGAATTTTACACCAATACAATAGTCAGTATTTGAAGTTATCAAAAATGTATGTCTTTTACCTATCAAACTGTCCAAGTAAACTTAATTTTAAAGCATAAATCTAGTGTACCAAGTTTATTGCATGGTATTTCACATAGTGCTGATAAAATATTGAGATATTACAATAACTCAAAATCTAGAGGTGATGGACAAATTCTGACTACATTTTTGAAATCAGCACCAATAACTTGAGTTTTCTCCAGTAGCAAAATTTTTTTGTCCAGTGTAGTTCATTTGGTGTAGATTTGTTTACACACATACCTTTATAGTTTTTCACTAAAAAAATCTGATATTGTCCACAGTTAAAATGATTACTTACTCTTTCTTCACCTTAACATATAATATGAAAATTCACTAAAACATTATCATTCATTTAATAATACATAACTTTACACATTACAGCAATGTATATGATTTATGAAAATTTAGTGTTTTACACTTATGATAAATAAACTATGCTACATTTTATGTTGTAAAATGTGTAATTTGGAAATACTTAAACTATTACATTAATGTACTTTGAAATAAATTAACTTCTTTAAAAGTACAATTTTTTTCAGTTAACAATAAGCATACATAGAATTTCGTTCATGTATATAACAATAATGTTTTTAATGAACTGGAATATCAAAAATTTCTAAGTTTATTTAACATACTAATGGTGCTTTCCAACAAAATAAAACAAATCCAAAAATATACAACTTCTTTCTGAATATACTGTTTTAATAACATTAAAATCTGACTAGGTTCAAATACCAATTGAAAAATTTTAATTAGTCTATATAGAACTCATACTAACCATTGGCGATACAGTTTTTGGCAGTATTGCTGGATCACTTTTAAATGGCAACATTTTGTTTAGAGTACTGGCACTTGCTATAGGTACAGTAATCAACTGGGTTGGAACAGCTGAAAAAAAATGTATAAAATATAAGAATAATTACTTCTTGTATTAAAACTATACTGTCAAATGGCTTTTTTGCTAAGCAAATAATTTCATCTATTCATTTTTCAAAGCACTGATCGAGTTACTTAAAAAAGCCACAAGTCTTCATATGATGATATAATTCAGATGTTCCTAATCCAAAATAACTTAATTTGAGCTCAGTTAGATTAAGAAAAACTAAGATAGTTCTAATTTAAGAAATATTGACAGACCCAGGTCTTTCAAACGATTATCTTGTAGCAAAACTGTTATTACACTAATGGCATAAATACTGAAGTATTGCACTGTTTAAGTACAAGTGTTCCAAACAAATGTAATGCAACAGAGCACATCTGATGGAGGTAGAAATATAACATTGTTCAAGTTCTTAAAGAAGTATTTCAAAAGACATCGAACATTAACACTTTTCAAAACACCATCATTCACTAAAAAACAGCACTGCTACAGTTTTGACTTAATTTTCAGTTAACTTAAAAAAGATGTTTTGTATACATTATGTAGATCTTTTACAAATATGCTTCACGATATGTATCAAAAATAATTCCATCACTGAAGCCATTTGAATGAGCTTGTTAATATGATCATATTCACACACATTTTGTGAATAACTAATTGCTCTTTAACCATCACATATATATATATGTTAATTTGTCTTTGAAACTAAAACATTAACCTACGAGGTCTGTAAGGTCAGTTTTATTTTATCCTTATCTGAAAAAAAAATAAACAACATACATCAAACTAGAGTGCTCAATTACTTTCCCAAATTTGTGAATGGTCCAAAAAGCACAATTCTCCATGTACTGTAAGTGGCATCACTATAACTTCAAGTACTAATTGAAAAAAGCTTTATGTCATTTCTGCTATTTTACAATCCTAGCTTTTTATAAATGGTAACTAATGGAAGTTTATATTTTCATACAAGATGCTTAAAGCTTGATATATTCATTTGAATTCTTAATGAGAAATGCCTACAGATGTACTTTGTCCTTGTACATCAGAGTATGGTTTTGATAAGAGCAGATACAATAATTTTCCAATCCTTGACTTACCATCTCCAGGATCAAATTTTATAAATACATATGAACATGAATAGCTTTAAAAAATTAATTTGATATGCTCCCAACTAAATGAGCACGGCACAAAAATATGTAATAAATTTAGAAATAATGATTGCATACATCACAAATATCTATGAGGTTGAACAATTTTGGAAGACCCTGTATATGACTTGGATGGAGCAAATGCCAAGAAAGCTAATTTATGATTAAAACAAACATCACTACAATACATACAAAAATCTGAATGATACCATATGATAACTTTAAACCTACAGACTGAAACATCTACTCAAATAAGATATTGAAACACCCCATGTGTGTACAGAATCTCTGCCTAAAAGTATTGGGGAACAGCATGAGTGTAAGAAGGACAAAACAAACATAACAAATATTTTTTCTTTATTTATCTTTAAATGTTTGTCCTTTACATGTGCCATATGCATGAAATATTTTACACTGCACAGAAACAAAATAACATCACTTAAAAAAAAATGTAGGTATGTATCATTAACAACGTTAAGGTAGTCGAGTGTTGTTAAGACTGAAGGTCAAGGCACTAACGCAAAATCCAGAAACAAAAGTGAGGTAAGAAAGAAAACTTTACCTTTCCTCATGAGTTCTAACTTCCCTTTAATCTCTGTTCTTAACCCTTTCACGAGTCCTTGTACCTGAGGGCACGTGTTAAGTGACATTCTTTCCGAAATAGCAGCGTTCGCGCCAATTTCTTGCCGACTGGAAATTACATACAGCACAAATCTAACAACCACGACACCCCTTCCCCTCTCACGACATCCCAGCGGAGATCCGGTGAGCTTCACATAAAGACAGGCACGAAACACGTTCTGGCTAGAAACCAGTCCCCGCTCGATCTATCGCCATCAGGCACTCACATTCATAAACTAACACACGCTATCTCGCGTAGTATTTTCATGCCTTGAGTGACAGAAACACACCCTAGAAGGCGGTCGATTTGGAAATGGCGGGAAATTGAACACAACATCCAGTCATGCGGGACGATCAGCTGTTAGTTTTCTCTAACAAAGATTTAGAAACACAGGTAAAATCATATTCATCACAATGCATGAGAAAATTATACGAACACAAAACAAAAATGACAACAACGTATATGCGAACAATGAGATCCAATCATCAGATATATATATATATATATCAAAATAATTAGGCAAGTTTTCTTTAATAATTTCTGACAAAAAAAAAAGGAAACATGTTGAACAGAGCCTACGTTTTCCTGTTTCTTCCCACACCTATGAATTAGGTGAGTTTTGTAATAGTAAAATGTTAATTCTGGAGTAGAAAAAGACGACGCTAAATACATCACTGACATGGCACAATTTACTACGTGAAAACAAAGAAAAAAATGCTCTACTTTTTTTACTATTTCAGTAACGCGTTGAACACTTTAAAACAGAAACATCGATATTCAGTCTCACGGACCAAGAATAATATATACTGCTTTTCACCGAAATTTAACATTTTACCTTCACTAAAAATAGATTCAGTACAAAGCTTACATAAAACTACAGAAATGATTACTAAACTAGCTTCTAAGGTAAAGGGCCTCACTTCTATTTGTAAGCTTACAGCTATGTGACTGAATGAAAAAGTTTTGCTTAAACCCGTTGGGAGTTTATTCATACATTTATTGTACGTCACGATAACGAGAAAAAACAACAACACATAAGCCACTTTTAACGCGTGTAGAATTCCTTTGTCGCAATTAAAAATGTGACAGTTGCATAGATATTTGAATATATCATTAGTCGGTCACGCCAAACGAACAACATCTGCGTGTGATTCTAGCAACCACAAAACCAACTTCTACGAAAATATAAGAGCAATGATTAATATCGGAGAACGATTTTCCGTCAAAAAGTTAAATAAAATTCCTAAAAGGAATTATAAAATTCCACATAGTGGAAGTCTACCATCTAGATCATACCTTACCCTTCGAAACGTAATTTTGGTGACTTTCAACATTGATTCGATAACTTTCAAAACAAAACCGAGCTTTTTTTTTTTTACAAGATCTATTTCCAACCTACCGTGCAAAAAAAAAGAGATTAATTTGGTAATACATATAATATGGAAAACATCAAATTCTACAATCACATGTGAAATATATAATCTCGCAAAAGTTCAAATATAATAGGCATGGAACGTAAATCAACATGCAAAGCTGGATATGAACGCTACGCTTTCAAATTTTTCCTGTGTACAAACACACTTCAAAAATAAATTACTGGTAAACAGACATCCATCAGTTATACATTCACAGTTCTATATATAACACTCAAACAGTCTGTGTTTCAAATTATGGAGGAAGCTCATGAAATCATACCAACAAAGTTTATTTCAGGACATGGCTACAACTAGAGAACAAGCCAAAATGAACCATTAAAAATTTTTACGGACGTAAAATCAATGATCATTTATTCAAACCGATGAAAAAAATAGCATTTACAATCTACTGAGCACAAAACATCATATTAGAAAGGTTTTCCAAACTTCTACGTTTAGATCTTTCAACGTGCCCTTAGCGATAAGAACATAAACGTTTATTGAGAAAGCATTTACCAGGTATTTAATTACCCTCCACAATGAGAGAGTGCATACATAAACTGTCACTGAATGTTACAAAATGTTACAATATTGGAAACTGCTTCAATGACGAATAATATGAAGTTTTTGTGTTAGACGTAGCACATGTTCTAAGACGTACAGTATGCCACTAATGTATTCTTACTCAACGTTTTAAACTGCCGAATAAAATGTATATGGAAACTTGCAGTATTTTTAATCGATTTGTCAATATACGTATGCCACGTCTACCCTGAAATAGTTGCACTCTGATTAACGACGATTATGAATAATTTCTTTCTTTTTTTTAAACGTGGTATATTTTGCATACGAAACAACAAAACCAGGAACTTTACCCAAAAGCCATGAATACCTGTGTACTCATGCGCATGTTTACTACATACAACACCGAGCACGAATGTATTAAAACAACCAAATACACACACATATATAAAGGCATAAAAAAGTCGAATTTCCTGATATTCTCTCTAAATATACTAATTCATGCGCGCTCGCAACACACACACTTGTGCCGAAAATCAGGTATGGGTAACCGTCGTTGCTCTTTGTTAAACACATAATAGCCTCTTACATAACGCCTGCAAGGTACAGCAGGAAGTAAGAATGTAACCCTGACAAAAGGTATAACGGTTTTTGATTCGTAAATACACTATTTTACTACTTCTAAGACTTTTTTTTAACTTTTCGAATTATTTTTTTTCTTCTAAATATAAAATATCTAACCATGATATATCTTGGTTGGTTTCCCTTTTTAAAATCAGTTACCTGAATAACTACCGTATATCTTTACATTTAAAAAAAATATTAACATTTTACTTTAGACTTATGAAAATGCGGCTACAGCTTGACCAAAAGCATTTTACAACATACTTTTTTTACTAATGTAACAAAGTGAGAAGACAAGTATGTTCCAAAATGAAAGTATAGCAATGCCATTAAAACTGAATGAGCTTGTTACGTGTATTTATGTAAAGTCTTTAATTTTCATTTGATTGAGCTCTTTAATACCCAAGGCTTGTAATTATTAACTTTGATCGGAACTGTACCATGCGTTAGCTTCCCTTAGTTAACACGTAATTTTTTCGAAATTTCAATATTTTCTTTCAGTTCAGTTTGGACACGGTGTGGCTCAAGTAAACAATTCAACCTTCCTTTCTCTGGTGCACAAAAAAAGTGGATTCATTACTGACTACAAATTCAACAAAAACATACTGTATTATCTATATTTGTATTTTTTTAAGTGTGACCTTTGTGGATGGGGCACCAATTCACACTTAGCCCAG